GGGGGGGGGGGGGGGGGATGTTAATGTATCTATGTTTGTCCCACATCGATTAAACTATAAAACTTCACTAATCTCTTATGTTATAAATAAACATCCTCATGCATAGAGTAATTTATACCAAAGTAATATGCAATTGATATTCGCTTTTTATTCTCTTTTTTTGCAAGTTGATTAGGATGCTTATTTATTTTTAATATTCAATTTAATTAGGATTCTTAGTTATTTTGTTTCCTAGTTTGATTAGGTTTATGCTATTATAAATAGCAAATTATGTAACCTATTGAGCAGCTCTTGAATACTATTCATGCTAATCATGCATTGCCATCATTCAATCTTCTTTGTTATGGACACAAAAAACATATAGTTTCAAAATTATTATCAATTATTACATTTTATGATTGGTCATAAATTTATTTTAATTTGTTGTAACTTCATTTTAAAAAAATATAAATTAGACCTGAACAAATAGTAACGTTCGGTACGGTGTCAAAATATTTTTTTGGTACCCATACATTGAAATTGAAAACAAAAGGAGGCCATGACCTTTTACGCGTGAGAATAATGCTGGAATAATCCTACTCTTATGTGGCACATGTTAATAACGTTGTGCATGTATGGAAGTACAATTCTAATCTTCGCGTCTGCAATGGCTATACTTTGAAAAATTAGAGACAGACTTGTCCGGCAAGTCTTCCACTACAAGTCTGAAAGATACAAAAATAATTTAAAACTCAAAGCCTTAAAGATACAAAATGATCCTAATTCCAATCGGAAAATTCTACTATACTTAAAAAAAATTGGTATGGTACAGTCGGTTGTCACTTTTTATGGGTAAAGTCACAATTCTAAAAGAAGAAGTTACAACTGCTCAAGGAAAAATCATAATTGATCACCAAGGGCGGAGCCAGGATTTTTGTTTATCCCGAACTAAGTTAAACATTCATACGATTAACAAAATACAAATGTAAACTCATAAATATATATTCAATAATACAAATGTAAACAAACCAGAGACCCTATGCTGCCAGGGGAATGCATGGAAACGCAAGCCAAAGGCGAAAAATAAAAAATAAAAAATAAAGCAAAAATAGTAATTACCTTGCATGCAGTATCAAATCCAAAGCTTGTAGGAACTTCTTTGCATTTCTAGTCACCATCAATGGTCTTTGGAAGAGGGAATGGTTCAAACTATCACTGCCAATTTTAGCACACAATACCTGGGAAAAAGATTCACACTCTGAAAAGTATCATGGTAGTCTTGGAACAAATATAATGTTATTAATGTGGTATTTTCATTTAACTGATGCCCATAACATGCCTCTGGGTGAACAATGAACTTAATGACTAAATGGCAAAAAAAAAAAAAACCTGTGTGTTATGTACTTTAAGTTACTCAGGAAAAAAAAACCACTTAGATCCTTAAAATTAAAATTTCTTGGATTGAAATGGCAATTTCTCTTATTAGTCATTCTTACTATATGTTGACCCAAATTTATAGTATATACCAAGCCATAATGAAATTAGTCCACTAATTTTCTTTTGCAACCAAAATTTAAGAATGTCATGTGCATACATTATGTAAGAAACTAGAAGGATCAACTTTAATATGTAAACAGGAATGCTAAGTTCAAAAGAACACATCAAAAAACTTAACGACTAATATTTGTAAAAGCCAGTATTAAGTCTGTAAATTTTGAAACAAGCATGAGAAATCGAAGGACAAAATACATTGAGAAAAAATCATAGGAAGTAAAAGGCAAATTGTAAAGAGGATCGACACTGGAACAAGCTAGAATCATTAACAGCCAGCGATAAACTGTAAACATTAGTTATCAATAAGAAACGTTTAGTATTGAAAAGAAACATAGTCATTGAAATTAATCAGACGAAGCATAAACATAAATTAACCGAATCAAATTCAAAAAATAGTGGAGTTCAAAATGCACAAATAAGTAAAAAAAAAAAGAAAAGAAAAGGAACAGAGAAGAGTGGAGAAACCCTATCCATACATGAAAACTTCAGCATCTTCAAGAATCTTCTTCTTGAAATAGTAACAATTCTTTAGAAATCCTCCAACCATCTCCGTATCACTCTGATCAACACTCTCCTGTACCGGAGACGAGAGAGTCAGAATCTTCGAGTGCGATTGATCGACTTTCTCAACCACTGAAGTCTTCAAAACCTTATTTAGATGGTGTTTTCGCAAGAGGGATGGGGGGAGGGTTTTTGCGGTGATGGGCTGGTACTTAGTGGTAAATTTTTTTATTTTTTTTTACTCTAGGCTTCAACCCACCTTAGCCCACCAATAGATCCGTCATTGTCGATCACAGACGCCTATGATCGATCATGAAAACTTCGGTATCGACCTTAACCTTCCATGGTTGATCATACCATTTAAAGTTGTAACTTATGTTTTAGAAAAATTATACCTTAACATTAAAAAATTGTAATTTTTAGTACGATACCGGGGCGATCCTGTGGCCTTTCCGCCTAATTCTAGGGCAACTACTACTACTTTGGAAAATTAGCAAGTCTTCCACTACAAGTCTGAAAATGGGCAAGTCTTCCACCACAAGTCTGAAAATGGGCAAGTCTTCCACTAAAAAAGTAATTGCCATAGTTATCTATATTTATACCTATATATCTATACTACACAAAAATTTTGATTTCCTATTTTAAAGTCAACTATACTTGCCTATATATTTCCATCTAATTTTCATTTTTACACCTATTTGACTTTTGACTTATTTTAGACTCTTTTATAAGGACTTTTAAATTCTTTTGAACTCATTTATTAGTAGTACAATTATATACAATTATTTATTTCTATATGAAGAAGTAAAGTCCTATTCGGTAAAATATTGATATATTTTAATTTTTGGTGTGTAATAGTATAATAATCTATAACTATTTCTATCTATATCTATATCTATATCTATGTCTATTTATACTACTTATAAATATCAGCATCTATGAAAAACTTTTGATTCCCTATTTTATCCCTAATTATTATAATGAAATTAATTATACCCACCTATATACTTTTATTTGCTCATATTTGACTTTCAATTTATTTTGAACTCTTTTATAAGTACTTTTAAATTCTTTTGAACTCATTTATTAGTAGTACAGTTATATACAATATTCTATATCCATATGAAGAAGTAAAATCCTATAGATGTTAAATTATTATACACATATAGGTTCCATATTGAATTTTATAGTCAAATATATGTTATATTTTATTTTTTTAGTATGCAATAATATAATAATATTATAAAAAATCTAATCAATCTATTTAACAAAATAAAAATTAATAATTTTAGAATATAATTAGATGGAAATGCCTAAAGGGGTCGAAGAGATATACCTAAAAAAATAACAGAGTAGGTACTCAAAGTCTTAAAGAATAAAATCATAATTATGCATCACTTAATTAAATATATAATTAAATTTTTATATAATATATATAGTACTTAGAAATGTTAGTATATGTAAAAAAATTGATTTACTATTTCATCCCTATTTAATAATGTTAAATAAAATTTTTTCTTTTTTTTTTCCAGGGGAGGGGGCAATGAGGTTCAAACCCATGACCTAACGGTCCAACGACATGTTGCAGCGACCATTAGGCCAATCCCTAATCCTCCAAGTCAATCATACCCCACATAGCTGCCAAACTGCCCTTTAAACTAATCAAGCTGTTGTTCACTTTGGTCACTCTATAGCAAAGACGAATCTATATTATATTGTTATATAAATATAGTTATCAAATTAGATTGTCAGATCAAATATATGTTATATTTAAATATCTTTATTCAAGAATTAGGTTTAACAAGAAATAAAAGATAGATTAATATTTTGACACCAAATTTATAATTTTATTTTTGACACCAAATTTATAATTTAATTTTTAGACATAAAATTTATATTTTCATATATTCAACAAAAAATTATTATTTAAATTATTCACGTTCAACGCAAGACATTGCTAGTATTATAAGTGATTTAATCAATCAATTTGTAAACCTCTATATGTTTATCTTAATATAGTGTCACAATTATTGTGAAATGCTCATATATGTAATGACGTAAGAATGAACTATATAGATTGTAAGAGTAGAAATAAATAACTTTGGGAGAGGCAATATGTGGTGTATTAGAAATAAGGAAATATTCTGTAGATAATACCCATTTTAGAGGGAATTCAGGTAGGGAAAATTTTTTTTACTCTGATGTCCGATAGATCTAAAATTTTTACAGTGGATATTAGACTTCCAGGGCTACAAAAAGTATATTTTACCAAAATTTTCTAAATCGGCCTCTAAGCAGGCCAAAACTTCCTTGGAAGTTCCAATGAAAACTGGAGTTCGTTCAAACGTGAAAGGATCCGTTCGAACGACAGTTAGTGCCAATACTTTGGTGTCTGACAAAAACTTTGATTGAAAAGCAAAGGTACTGGGAAACAAACAACGTTCAAAACCCAATATGAGGTTCAAACGCCATGTAGATAGTTTGAACGTACTATCGCAATTTTGAGTATCAAGTCTGTGCCGATTGGACTATTTTCTCATACTATAAATACCTAAGGACGTCTTCCCTAGCCCTATTTAATCAGTTTTTAACCCTAGAGGACCTTAGAAAGCAAGAAAGAAGAAGAGAAACACAAGATTGAAAAGGGATTCTCACATTTGAGTGGATCAAACACGTTAGGTTTACACACAAACTACAGAATTAAGGTAAGAGTTTCTTCCTAAACTTGTTCATTGAGGCTATGATTAATATGTATATGTTTTGATTCTAAATTGTATATTTATGTTATGACATCATTGTTTTTTGATTTTCTTGCAAATCGTATCATGTCTTTAATGAGGTTATCATTTGATAACCATAAAAACTCTTTTTCTTGTTATCAAAACTCTAGTTTTCAAGAATATAGATTTTACCCTTGATATTCCATTTTTATTGATTTAGAAAATCTAGTGTTTTGTTTAAACAATAAAAATATATTTCTTGATGATCTCTTGCATTTTTTTTCGAGTTATTCTAATGGAAAAATACTTGTGGAATTATGTTTCTAGGTTACCTATGATTTGGTGAATTGATTTTGTATTGTATCACTTGTGTGGATGTTTTGATGAACATGAGTGACCGTTGACTAGGTATCTTAAAGTGGGTAGATGCATTTTTTACTCTCAATGGGTTTGAAGGTTCCTTACCACTCATAGTGAAGTTGATGCCCTATGAGGACCAAATCACTATTCCCTCACCAGTATCGAGGTTGAAAGCTAGTATATCATTCATGGGTTGGATTTATCACTACCGATGCGTTGATATATGACATTCCTAAAGTTGTGTATTTTTACAAGGATTGGATGTGTGTGTGTGTGAGTCAAGATATTCTTAATGTGTGTATTCATGCTAAGTCTTACTACAGACCTGAGATACAGTGTTGATAACGAGTTGTTGTTTGAAAGTTGATTTTGCTTCATCATTTAATTTATTTCTACTACGTAAACTTTAGGTCTGATGAACTATCACTGTTTTAATTCGAAAGTTACATATGATATTTTTGTAAAATGAGACCAACATGTTTTATAATTTTTTAAAACCTTATTCGAGCTTGGGAGAATTTTTCTACAGAGTTTAGTATTCACTCCCTACAAACATCATCTTTTTCAGATTACAGTTTAGAGGAAAAGTTCAGATTGGATGAGCGAGTGAATTGGGAAGCTTAAACGGATGGATACGTGGTTCCCATAGTGGATGTTTAGAGTTATTACATTTATGTTCTAGGTTGAGAGATTAATTTTGAGACAATGTTAAGGATAATATTTTATTTATTCTATTGTTAGATAATATTTGGTTTTTGGTTGTAACTGCCAGGGTTTGGCGTATTTGTTTTGGATGATACTTTAGTTATTATGGATGATGAATGAAATTTTTTTAATTTATAAATTTTATTAGTTGCTCTCATGATATGAATGGTTATAGATAATAATGTCTTACAGGGTAGATTTTGGGGCGTTACAAGTTTGGTATCAAAGTTTAGAAATTAAGTTTTACATGAGAGCTGTAGATTGGGGATTACCACTAGAGGTAGGACTAGGTGGAATGAAATTTTGACTAAAATCTTATACAGGCCTTATACTTTGGATTCAAGTGTGAGTTAAGATTTCTAGTATATTAAGGAAAATTAAATTGTAATTTGATGTGCAGAATGAAGGGTGGACAAGGATGAAGGAGGACGAGGACATAGAGGTCAAGCAAACCCACCACCACCACCACCTCCAGATGCCATGATGGCATTTATCAATGCTTAAGGGAGTTAACCACTCTGATACAATACCAAAATAGAAATAACAGTCATAACGGGGTCGTTCAGCCATTAGCTCCTACACCGAGCAACAGGGATAGTAATAGAAGGATAGTAGTTCTTCGAGAATTTTGAGGCAACACCCACTTACTTTCCAAGGAAGCCCTCACCCTTTAGATGAGGATAAGTGAATTCATAGGAAGAAGAAAATGTGTACTAACATGAGAGTTGTAGAGGATCTGCAGATCGGCCTAGCTATATATCTACTGGAAGGGGAGGCAGATCAATGATGGGACTAAGTAAAAAGAATGAGGCACACTGATAAAATGTCCTGGGAGGATTTTAATCAAATATTCCATGACAAGTATTTTCCTAAATCGATCAAGGACAAAATGAGTGCTACTGGATGGTCTCTAAGAGAAATTCTTGACTTTGTTGGGGATGTTTAAGGTCCAAATAAAATTCTCTACCCACTTGGTGTTACTACTGCTTGGTTCCCCATTTCCATTATGTCCACCGTGTAAACCTTGATCTATAATAAGATGATAGGCACTCTTGGCTGAGAACTCTCCTGACCTTGTATAATGCCACACTAACCGATCCTCTAGAAATTAATCGTAGATAGGTATGTAATTTCATCCACTTCAAAGGGAAGGAAATGATGCCGCAACAATTCCGAAATCTAGCCCTTTTTGTCTTGATCAATTAGGGAGTTGACCAGAAAGTTCTCATCCACATTCGATGCGATGCTTATAAGTCGAAAT